CCTGAGACTCTGCCCTGGGCTGTCTGGCCATGGCCCTGGGGCATCTAGTGGAAGAGCCAGGTCTAGACCGTCCCTGCCATGCAGGGTCCCAGGCATTCTGGGACTAAGGCCTTCCTGCCCTTTAACAAAGCTGGTGAGAAGTGAGGGGAGAGGATTGGAGCTGCCTTGTCCTTAACAGGGCCCTCAGGCAAGGAGGGTACCAAGAACATCAGCTCAGCGTTCCAAACTCTAAGGCTGTTAAGTTGTGCTCTTAACACAAAGATCAGTTCTCTCTAGAAGTTCAAATCCAACAGTGACTCTGAGGGAGGATGGACAGGCTCCTCCCATGTGATTTACAGCCTCAGAACCCCTCTGAAGTTAAGTCATTTCTGACTTGATGATGAATTTGAGTTGAGGTTGGTGGGCCGGGAGGTAAGAGATTTTTAGCCATGACCCACAGCTCTGGCAGCCTAGTGGTAAGAAGCTGTGCTGCAGTCCCAAAGGCATACAGTTTGAATCCGCCAGCTGCTCTGTGAGAGTGTAGGCAGTCTCTTTCCATGCAATTAACTGCCCCTGAGAACCTGCAGGAGGGTGAGCTAGGGGTCACTTCTGACTCCACAACACACAACTGCAAGACCACCAACCCAGCAGGTGTGTGTAACCCGCATAGGGCTCTGCATAGCCCTAGAGCTAATTGATCCTATTACCCAGATGGAAAAACAGAGGCCTAGTGAAGGGAGATGGTAGCAGAACAAACACGTCAGTCTCTAGACTCCACTAACCCCTTGCAGTAGGAACAGGGCAGCCCCTCCACTTGGCTGCCAGTTTTCCTCTAGGTGGAGAAAGGATCAAAGTGCGGGCTGAGTGCATGGGCAAGAGGAGCTGGGCGGTGGGGGGGCCAAGGGCGGCTCAGGGGGCCAGTCCTAGCAGCTGGGTATTAGTCTTGTAACATTTCATGCTTCTCTGGCTGTTTCTAAACTAGGTGTCAATTCACAACAGGCTTCAAACGTCCCAGCACAGCCCCGGGCTGGGGGCCGAGAAGGGAGTGCCAAGCCTGCAGCCTAGCCCCCTGCGAGAGCAGCCCCCGCTGCTGCCACCACCACCACCCACGCCCCCAGGGACCCTGGTGCAGTGCCAGCAAATTGTCAAGGTCATTGTCCTGGACAAGCCCTGCTTGGCCCGCATGGAGCCGCTGCTGAGCCAGGCCCTCTCCTGCTACGCCTCATCTTCCTCCGACTCCTGCGGCTCCACACCTCTGGGCGGCCCAGGCTCCCCGGTCAAGGTCATCCACCAGCCTCCGCTGCCCCCACCCCCACCCCCCTACAACCACCCACACCAGTACTGCCCACCAGGCTCCCTGCTGCACCGGCGGCGCTACTCCAGTGGCTCGAGGAGCCTGGTGTAGACTGCGTATCCACCCTGCTGCCCCAGAGGGCTGGCCGCTCGGGGCCTGACTGTGCTCTGAAGCCCAGACTGCCCTCGGTGGCTCACTACACCCCGACACCCTGACACGATGCGTTCTGGTCCCCAAGCACCACCATTTTGGAACCAGAACCCCAGCCCCTGGCACCCAGTTTGCCTCTCCCAGCCATGCTTTCTTTGCCGAGTTGAGCACTCCATCCCCACACCAGAGACACCGCCTCACCTTCCTGGGGCCCTGCACAGCTGGACGTGAACAGGCCACCTCATCCTCTTGCCGTGCCCTGTTTGGACCACAGACTGGAGAAAAAAGGAGTGAAGGGCCTGCCCACAAGGCTGCTCAGGCTGGTGAGCAGGCGTGGAGGCAGCTGGACTGGCCAGCACCTGAGCATTGGGCAGAAGGTGCCCTCGTACCTCCAGATGAGGTGCTCCTGAGACTGGACTGGGTGGGGAGGCTTAGCACTAGTTCCTGAAGGAGCCAGGTGGCTATGAGGTGTGAGGAAGGGCGGCTTTGTCTGCTGTCCTCTCCCCCTCAGCCCAGCAGTCTCAAGAGGCTGTCCTTCCGTCCCAAGGGACCTTGCCTGTTCTCACTACATCCTTCCACCCTAGATCTGTCCTCCAGCTTTCCCAGGGATTAGACTAGAACAAAAGTTACCAGGTTCCAACGTGGAAGCAAACACAGGGAGGGGCAAGTGCAGCTCACAGAGCAAAAGGGCTGGGGCTCATTCTTGCTTGACTTCTGGGGCCCCTCTGTGGGATTTGGGAACAGAGGGAACCGCAGAAACAAGTGTGGCATCACAACCTGCATTTCCCCAGTGGCCATCCCACACTAGCTCTCAGCCTTTAAACTTCTCCTCCTGAGAGGCACCAGCCCTGCCTCCAGCTGGGGCGACTCAGAAGAGACCCTGGAACCCTCAAGAGTGCAAAAGAGAGCCAGCCAGGGACTCCTGGACACAAGTCAACTCCCCAGTGCCGAGTGGGATTCAGAGACAACCTTTAGACAGATCTGCCAAGCCCTGGCCTTGAGAAGGGCCCAGCTGTACCTCAGAGGACAGGGGCCGGTGCCTTGACCTGCTCCAACCACAGTTCTTTCAGGAAGTGTCTGTCCCGAGCCAGACTGGGCCTCCAGTACTGTGCCAGTGGTAGTTGCTGTCTCGTGTTAGGATCCCCCTGCCCTGAACCTATTGTTAGAGTGGCCTGAGAGGTTCAAGTGAATGTCAGCAAAGTCTCAGTTGAATTGGCTTAACCCCTACCCTGAGCCCCAACCTGCAGTGGGGCGAACATTCTTCCCCCAGTACCCGATTCCCCCACCCTAGGATGCCAGCTAGGAGGCAGCTTCATCCCCCGTCGTCTGTTCCAGATGGCCTAGTTTGCGTATGTGGTCACCCAGACGTCATTATGTCGTCACCCACGGGTTTATTTCTGGCCCTGTCTTTGGTGGCCTTGTTTCTGTCACTTGCAGCTGGTCTGTCACCATCTCCCACTATGGCTTCTCAGCCCATGTGCCCATGCCTGTCATTGCCCTGGTCCCATCTTCTGGGCTACAACAGGGACGCTCCAGTCAGAACTTTTCAGAATGGAGTATCTGACAGACAGGATACCCAAACCAGCCCACCTCTGGTGCCCTTGGCCAAGGCAGGCCTCCCGTACAAACTGTGAAGGCCTGGGCTGCAGGTGGCTGGGCCATGTGAGTTGTGGGCACGGGAGCTGATGGATCTTGAATGAGAGGGACTGGAAATGAGAGTTTGGATGAAGTGACTGTAAATAATGAATGGGAAACGTGGAGTGTGAGTTATGAAGATGAATGAGTATGACTGTATAGGGTGGGACAGTGTATTCTAGAGGCCACTGGGGAAGGGGGACAGCCCCTGAAGGCCAAGCTGGCCTGTGAGCTCTCCTGACCATTGAGATTCTTGTCTCACATTAGGCTCCACAACCCTCCCAGGTGATGGGCACAACTCTTCTGAGGTTGGGTGGGGCCCCTCCTGCCCACCTCTGCTGAGCCCTGGTTTCTGAGGAGATAGGGAGCCAGCTGTCGGAGGGCTGACAGGGCCTCTCCTTTGAGACGCTGGACTCTTGGGCATGCCAGACCCCTTCTCCAGGATGAGGGCTCTCTGCCTGCTGTGGACTGTGAGGCGGCCCTGGACTCCTCTGGCAGCACTAGGAGTCTTGCCTTGGGGTTAGATGCCTAGGATTAGCAAGTATGCGGAGCCAACCCCAAGTTTCAAGGGGCATTTATCCCCCACAGGGGCTTAAACCTCACTTAACTTTGGAGAAGGGCACGTCTGGCCCTCCTCACTGTCAGGAAGAAAGCTTCACACCTGTAACCACTGTCCCCAGTCAGGTACAAGACTGAGGTTAGGGCCCTCTTCTGCTCCCCTGAGAGCCCTGGGAAATGCCTCTTGCCAGCTCCCCATGGCAGCAGCCAGTCAGGGCCTCAAGTCCTCCCAGAGGACCAGCCGGGGACGCCCTGGGCCCCCTGCTCGCCCCAAGCTGAGCAGGAGTGGGGTGTGACTGAGCCCTTGGGCACAGCCTCCAGCACCCAGACCACAGCCCCCTGGCTACATACCATGCACCCCAAGATGGTCCCACCCTGTCACTCTCTAAGCCTTACTTAGGGACCTGGGTCCCGCTTCCCATTTTATCCATTTGGCTCAAATTCTAGAATCGAGAGCTTTCCCATCCACCCTTGAACAAGTCCCGCCTCTAGAAATGAAACAAGAACTTGCCCTGATAGTTTTGTCCTGGAAGTCTATTTGTCTCCAAAGGCACCTTTATTGACCCTGGGCCCTTCCTGAGATTCTTGACCCTTCCCCCACCTGCTCCTCCTCAGCCTCCCTAAATGTCTCTGTCTTGATAGGCTGCCCTGAAGCACCGGATTACCCAATAAGTGATGTAAACACAGGCTTACATGTGTTTACTAATAACTTCACTTTCTCTCTCCACATCAAAGATTCTGCTTCTAGGTATCACTGGCATGTCTCTTTCCTGATCCCACAGTACCTTCCTACAGAATCAAAGCCCCTTTTCAAATTGACAGTCCCTGACAGGGATGCAGTGCCCAGTCAGCAAGGTGAGCATGGGCTTACTTGTGCTTATTTACAAATCTGTACTGAACAATGGGAATTGCTTATCGGGTAATCCGTCCCTGTCTGTCCGTGTCCTGCTGTATATATGTTCTTGCTGCTGCCCCTCCCCTTACACACCTCCTCCACCCATTGGAGGGAAACCCCTTTAGGGAGGGCAGGGTGGCTGCACCCAGCAACTAATCCAAATGGCAAATATTTTGTAACAAAATAGCCCAGAGGTATTTTATCTGTTCAATTCATAGAGTTTTAGAGATTATATTGAAATATGTCACTTGAACAGTGTCTGGTTTTTTTTTTTGTGTGTGTGTGTGTGTTCTCAGTGGCAGGGGGGCACACCTTAAACCGGAGCCCAAAGTGGGACTTGGGAAGTTGGGAGGTGAAGGGTGGTGGTATAAGGCCCTGAGGCTGCTGGACAAGGCCTCGGGGGTGCTGGGAGGCAGACTATGTGCCCATAGCCGCTGTTTACCCATTTCTTTACCCCAACATACCATGTAACATCCTGTGAAATGATTAGGGAGCTCTGCCTTAAATAACTAAGACTTGGGTGTGGGGAGGCCTGGTGGTGTGGGATGTCACATATCCAGCAAAGGGTTTGCATCTACCAGCAGCTCTCAGGAGGAAAGAGAGGCAGTCTCCTCCTGTAAAGGTGTATAGCCTCAGAAACCTGATGGTGAGTCACTGTAAGTGGTACAGAACTGACCTGATGGCAGTGGATTTGAGCTTTTGGTTTGGGGTATAGGGAACATATGACTGGCTATTTGATGGATGTATGCAGGGGCCAAGCTGGAGGTCCAGGGCGGGAGCCTCATCAAGTGTGCTGGCCTCTCTATCCCCGTTGTTCCACTAGTGCGTGCTCCTCTCTCTCTCTCTCTCTCTCTCTCTCTCTCTCTCTCACACACACACACACACACACACCTTTTTAGTTGGATGAGAGCAGGTAACAATTGACACCGGAGACCACTTTGGAGGGAGGAAGCACCCCAACAGCCCACATGCCTCCATGCAGGAGTGAGAAGTAAAGAGGGCAAGACCCCATCTGCTTGCCGTGCTCCACTCTGTAGTGGAGAGCCAGGCATGGTGTGGATGGGAGGGCTGTTTTCCTATCATTTGCTTCAGGAAAACTAGGCTTTCTAATGCCATCGTATCGATCTAACCAGCCCTAAGATCCCCTTCCTGAATGGAAGGGCAGGAGGCTCAGGGGAAAGGTTGAGGGCAAGTACATGGAGCTCCAGAACAGGACTGATTTAGCACACATTTACTGAGCCCCATGGGGAGCCAGGCCCCCTGCTGACAGCCAGCAGCATGACTAGGGCCCTCAGGATGGGCTGAGGGACCCACAGTGCCCAGTAGTGAGTGTCCACAGTGACTTGGAATGCTCAGATCAGGTTCTGTGTGGAGGAGCTTGAAGCTGGGACAATCTCTTCTGTGGGAACAGGAGTCAGCATTCCAGCAACACAGAGGCAGCAGAGGGTACATGGGAGAAAAGCACTTGGGGAAGGTGATTTACCCTGGGGTGCCTATAGGGGAGGCACCCAGCTGTCCTGGAGACCAGACTCTAAATATTCCAAATCCATGTGGCTCACACCCTCCCTGGTCGGTCCCACCATCCTCTGTGGAAGGACTGAGCAGGAAACTCCAGGAAACATCTGGGGACAAGATGGATCCCATTCTGAGAATTCTTTGACCCAGGAAGCTGGGGACTGGCCTTTAGGGAGCACCCCTGGGGGGACCAGCTCAACAAGGTCTGGGAGAGGGTTTAGGGCCAAGAGCGCCTCTGTTGTGTGTGGTTCAGCAACACCCATCCTCCATAACTGAAAGCCCCTGTGGGAGGAATGCCTGCCCCCAACCCAGTCAAAGAGGAGACCATCCTGTGCTGGTGGAGCCCCCACAGGCATGC